GGGAATGACTTTAAAGAGAAAGAACTTTCATAAACAGGAGACAGATCCGCCCGGAAAACGGTGCCAGGTGCCCAGCCGCGTGACCATCCACCACCCAGTGGCTCCCACCGCTGACGACAGGCCTGACGGGGCCCCTGGGCGGCAGGCGGTGGATCCGGGCCCCCGTGTGCAGGTCACTGGTTTTCACTTGGCCCAAACGCCCTGTCACTCAGAGTCGCTATGCCGGCCCCTGAGGAGGCGCGGGCAGGCCCGTTTCACTCCGTTAGCTCGCTGTTGCCTCATTCAAACCCGATGGGCCCAGACGGGCCGGGGGCCCAGCCGCCCTCCCCTCAGGAACCTGAGCGCCTCAGCCTCTGGCCTCTGCCTGCATCTCTCAGGGTCCCTTTCCCAAGGGCACGACCCCGTTTATAAGCACCCGTCCTGTGCCCTAATCTCCCAGACGCCTCACTGCCTCATGCCATCTCCCTGGGCAGGAGGGAGGATGTCAACATATGAACTTGGGGAGACACACTCAGACCACAGCACACACACAACACGCGCGCGCACACACATGTGTGCACTTCAGCACCTGGGCTGGGGCCTTCCTGCCCTTCATGTCCCCCCAGCACTGTGTCCCTTTCAGCCCTTCGTTCAGTCCTTCGTTAAACCGCTTCTTTTTAAAAAATATATATTTTTATTCATTTCAGAGAGGAAGAGAGAGGGAGAGATAAAACATCAGTGATGGGAGAGAATCATGGATTGGCTGCCTCCTGCACGCCCCACACTGGGGATGGAGCCCGCAACCCGGGCCTGTGCCCTGACCGGGAATCGAACTGTGACTTCCTGGTTCACAGATCGATGCTCACTCAACCACTGAGCCATGCCAGCCAGGCAAACAACTGCTTCTTTTTTTTATTTAATTGCTTCCCTGTCTCTGGTTCTATTTTTGTTCATCAGTTTATGTTGTTCATTATATTCCACAAATGAGTGAGATCATGTGGTATTTGTCTTTCTCTGACTGGCTTATTTCACTTAGCGTAATGCTCTCCAGGTCCATCCATGCTGTTGCAAATGGTAAGAGTTCCTTCCTTTTTACAGCAGCGTAGTGTTCCATGGTGTGGATGTACCAGTTTTCTAATCCAGTCATCACTGATGGGCACTCAGGCTGTGTCCAGATCTCAACTGTTGTAAATTGTGCTGCTGTGATCCCAGGGGAGCACAAACAACCATTTCTTAAGACCCTCCGCGTGCGGGGCGCTCTGCTGGGCACCGGGGCTGGAGGTGACCTGCCGCTCGGGAGGGGAAATGGGCCTGGAAACACAGCCGCTCACTGTGGCTGCGCCGGGTGCTGGGTGCCGGGTGGGAGAGGGGCCGTGGCCAGGGAAGGGCAGCGAGGGCCCGGGGCCTCCCCCAGCTGGAGGCTGAACATTTGAGGCTATAAAAAGCTGCGGACATTTTCTCTCCATTTATCCTCGAAACCTCTGGGGCTGTGGGAGACCTGCTGCCGCTGCCACCGCTACCGCCGGGCGATCTGTCTTCATTTGAGACTCAGGGGAGTGAACCGGCCGCTCTGGGGCGGTGAAGGGTGTGATGTTGACTCACCATCCCCTCGCCATCCCTCACGCTCCGTCTGTGAGAACTGGCAGGAGGGATGGATGGCGGGGCGGCCACCTCCGGCTCCCTCTCCCGTGGGACCAGGACATGCACCCCAGCCTCACTCCCCGCACCGGCCCCATCACCCACATCGTATCCTGACACCGTCCATTTGCGGCTTTGTCATTTCCACCCGACGCATATTTTTTACTTTTGGCAACTTTTCGCATGCGCTTTGGTTCAGCCAAGATTTCGTTTCCGGGCCCCTCGGTCTGGCTGTGATTGGGCGTGTGACTGGGCATCATGTTGTGTGGACCCAGGGTCTGCTCGTTGACCCTTTAATCTCAGGATCCATTAAGGGGGGCCAGCCGCACTGCAGGTGACGGGGCCATGTAGACACCTGGCACTTTTCCAAACACACAGGGTGTGCCCTCTGGGGGGGAAAGGCCCACATCACCCACGACCAGGGGACAGCGATCAGGCCAGAGACCAGGGGCTCAGGAGGGCGGGTGTGACATGTCCGGCATGGGATGGACTTGGCCCGAGCAGACCCGCTGGAGCCAGACCCGGGACAGCCACGGCCGGCCTGTCGCAGTGCATGGCCACCACCCGGACTTCGAGGCTCTCGGTGAGCGAGTCGGCACAACACGTCTGCAGACCCTGGAGGGTCCGAGTCGAGGGGGTCACACCAAGGAGCGTCCAGACCGTGGAGGGTTGGGCAGCCGACTCACCATGAAAGAGCCCAGAGCCTCAGCCCTGAGTCGGACCGTCAGTCGCTCTGGGGATCTGCAAACGCTCTCCCACCGATCCTGCTGCCCGAGAGGCAGAGGTCACCGTCCCCTCGGGCGGTCCCCCCAGGAGCCAAATCTGGGACAATCTGAGCAGAAAAATAATGATAAGAACGGATGATAGCCCATTGAAAACAGAGGTAAGCCAGGAGTCCATACACATATAAATCAATGAAAAAATAAATGAACTACATAAACATTTTAGATGGCATAAACAGATTTAATAACTACTAATGTGGTAATTTTAAAAAATTAATGGGAGAGAAGAGAGGGCTCTTCCTTGTGGGAGAATGCCTGCTACTCAGTGTAGAAGGAACGCTGGAATTAGAAGTCATCGACTCACACTGAAACTAGAGGACATAGCCCTGGCTGGTGTTGCTCACTGGTTAGAGTGCAGGCCCATGCACCGAAGGGTCGAGGGTTCGATTCCCAGTCAAGGGCACATACCAGGTTTGCAGGTTCGATCAGCGACCCCAGTCAGTATGTGCGGCAGGCAACCAATCCATGTGTCTCTCTCACATCAATGTTTCTCTCTCTCCCGGCCCCCACCCTCCCACCCTCTCCACCCCCCGCCTTTCCTCCCTTCCACTCTAAAAATTGTGGGGAAAATAGCCTCAGGTGAGGATAACAACAACAAAAACCTAGTGGCTACAAAGCGTAGTCCGGAAGTACAATACTGACCTGTCTCAGAGTCTCCCCGCAAAGGACCCGTTAAGTATAAAGGGGAAGGAGTCACTTACAGGAAGTAATAAAAGACCTAGTGGGCGCCCAGGGATCAAGGTCAACGTCACCAAGGCTGAGGTCGCTGTGCCTCTGCTGTGGGGAAGTGAGAGCCCAGCATCGCCTCGGGCGTCTTGGCCCAGAAAGCATCGTCCAAAGCCAAACACCAGGAAAAGGTAGGAAACCCACACTTAGGGGCATTACATCACCACTGGCCTATTGTCTTTTAAATGTCAAGGTCAACATCCCTGAGCACTCAGCCAGGTGGAAGGGGACTAAACAAGATGGTGACCAAATGCACTGCGTGAGCTGGATTAGACCCTGGACAGTGGAAAATGAAGCGGCTCTGAAGGACATTATTGGGACAGTTGAAGGAATTTGAACATATATGTCTATATATCAAGGAAGGTAGGTAGGTAGAGAGAGAGAGATGATAGATAGATAGATAGATGATAGATAGATAGATAGATAGATAGATAGAGTGATAGATGATAGATAGATGATAGATAGATAGGGGATGATAAAGCCAGAATGGGCACAATGGTTGGCTTGGGAGGGAGAATACGAGAAGTCCTTACCGTGCTCACACCTTCGGTATCGATTTGGAATGACGTGAGGATTAGACGTTACTAGACATTACAGGAATCTCTCGAGGTTCTGCCCGCCCCCAGAGGCACATTGCGCGCGGGGGTCTCCGACTGTCCTCAGGTTCAAGGGTTTTCCGGAAGGATCTGCGGCGTTCAGAAAGGGCTCTTTCTAACGGGAGGCAGTGAGTCGGTTTCCTAGCGCATCGCCTCCGGAAGGATGAGGCTCGAGAACCAAGGTCCCGCTGCGCCTGGGATGCTCTGTGGAGAGCAGCGGGGGTCTGGTCCCGGCTCCCAGGTGTACAGTGGGGGTGCCAGCCATGGGCTCGCGGGCTATGCTGCTGATGTGGGGACGCCAGGCCCAGTGCTGCATCCAGAAGACACTGGCTGCAAGAGGAACAGGAAAGCTGCCCTTTCCGGTCGTGAAGACACAACCCTCGGAGCTCCTCTGGAGCCGGCTCAGGGATTTGGAGGGCGTTTAGCTCACAGAGCGAAGCATCCTCTTAAATTAGTGAGGGGGCAGATCCAGGTTTCTTTGAAGCTGAAACATGAAGTAATTATGGAACCAGAACTCACAGCAGGAGATGTTTTATGGAACCTAATTAAAGCGAGGCAGGAGGAGCGGGTTATTAGAACCATAGGAAGGAATATGCCGTGGGGCGCGGGACGTGGGGTGTGGGGCGTGGGGCGCCAAGTGAGCTGAGCAGAGCCAGCCAGCACGAGGTGGCTGAGCGGGGACAGGAGCCGGTCTACCCATCCAGACGGCACATGGGGCAAAGATTCCAATCCTGCCTCAGCCACTTACTAGCTGTGTAACCTTGGGTAAGTTACCTACCTTCTCCTGCCCTAGATTCCTCATCTATAAGTTGAAAGTGATGATGATAATAATACCGATTCACAGCGTTGTTGTAGGGATGCCTAAATATTTACAAAGTTAGAAATAAATAAATACACTCTGTGAGTTTCTGCTTTCCCTTCTATAAAAGCATAGAATTGTCCTGAGACACAAATGAAATGAGGTATGATTACTGAGCACAATCCTTGGAACACAATCCACACTAAAGAGTAGCTACAACCTATCATCATCATCACCATCATCACCCTCACCATCATCACCATCACCACCATCATCACCCTCGTTATCATCACCGTCATCACTCTCATCATCATCGTAGTCATCTCCTTATTCATACCCATCGGGGACAGTGGTGTCTTTCCCATGGACCTCACGGGGCTTGAGGAAAGGCCACTGAAATGAAAACCTCACAAATGCATTGTTTTTACCATTTCTAACCCCTAAGGAAGTTAAGCTGTTTCTTTCAATCCCTTCTCAAAACACAGCTTCTCAAAAACAGATTTCGAAATCCTGTATCACTGTTATTAGGATATTCTCCGTTCAGTTCTCAGCTCCATGATCCGGAAGTCTCACATCTTCCTCAATGTAGGGCTCACTACCTCTCTGTCTTGAAGGGCTAGGGCTCATCTGTTCCCCAGCATCCAGGCATACAGCCCCAGGTCCCAGTGGACCAGAACCAATCCCTACCAAATGAAAACATCCATTGTAGCGACTGAGCCCGACCTCTAAGCATTCAGTCTCCCGCCACCCGCCACCACTGTAAACTCACACATGCACGTGCACGTGTGTGTGCGTGCGCACACACACACACACCACCCCCTTGGTCAAGGAGCCCAGGAATAATTAGAGCCATAACCTAAAACATCTTAACATTTCATGTTCTCTCTGGCCTGTCACAACCAAATGCCACCCAAGTCTCTGACCCCCCACAATGAACAACTCTTGTCAGTGACATGCACGTAGACATCAGCTGGCACCACATGATGCTTCTCAAAATGCCAAGTTCATCAGGTTACATGTGACCAGTTTAAGGGAAGCTGAGTGAGCCTACTCAGAGGCCCCCCTTCTCTGCTGGAGCCTCCACTGAGCAGAGGCGGTTGCCCTCCTCCGACAGAGGTCAGTGCTTATCAGATGCTAACAGCTGAGCCTCCCCAACCTCCGGCGAACACTTTCTCAGAGCAAAAGAGAAACAATGAGAGGGGCAAGAGTCGAGGACTTGCAGGTTTTCATAAGAACCTTGGGGTGTAATACAGTTACTGTAGTCCGCAAGGAAGCCATTCCTTCTTTCCACCCATCCACCCATGCATCCTTTCCACCCATCCATCCATCCATTCATCCTTCCCTTTCAATCCATCATCATCCATCCATTCATGCATCCTTCACCTTCAATCCATCATCCATTCATCATCCATCCATCCATCCATCCATCCACCCATCCTTCCACTCATTCATTGTCTTTCCATTTCTTTGGTTCACAAAGAATCTTTCCTCAAGGTTTTTGCATGCAGACTGGAGCTTCCCACAGCACCCTGGTCCTTGTAGGACATTCACCAAATGCAGACACATCAACCTGCTATCTGTACTTTAGAATTCAAGCTTCAAATGGTTGTAGAGAGCAGTTGTAAACAGTGGTAAAAAAAAAATGCAAGACTAGACCCTGGAGTTTCCTTTTGCGAGAGAGAGAGAGAGAGGCTATTTTTTTTTACATATCTCAACAATGAAAGAGTTGTTTGGAATAGTCCCCCATGTTCCTATTTGACCCAGTTCTTACAAGATTATCACTGAGTTTGGAACAGCCTGGGGGCAGGTCATGCAGCAAATGCTAAGATTTGCTCAGAAACCTCATCCTGTTTCCAGCAGCGGACCCCGAAGACCTCACTCTCACTGGGCTCCCTCCTGCCCCTCCACACACGACCTGCACCATAGCATTTCATTCCTGCAAATGAGACCATCCAACAGCGTCAACATGGCCTCCCACCTGACCTTGGCGAGGCAGCCACTGAGCAATTCTAGGTCACGAAGACATTGAGTAACACCAGTCCCAGCTTTCCCCTAGGAATACAGCAATAATTTAAGCGTATTAGGAAATGAGGTGTCAAATGTTGCTGTGTGTCGATTTTTTAAATTCTGAGGCTAGACAACCAAGTTTTTATATATCTTTTAACAAAAAAATCAACATAGGCATATTTCAGGTTGCCTCTCTCTACATTCTGGCAGGTTTGATATCAAAATAAGCAGAGCATGGTGACGCCCCATTCCATATGTCACCTCGGAGAAAGAGAGATCAATTTTAAGAGACCAGAATTATTAAAAGAAACCCCAGAACTACCCTTATTTTTTATGATGTACACCCTCTCCCAAACTTGGCAAAATTAGCTGGCCTGAATTTTTTTTTTTTTTTTACTACATTCATCTCTCTTCCTGCAATTTGGATCGACTTCAGGAACCTTTCAGAATTCATTTGATGGAACGCTGCTCTGTGTCATTATTGATTTTAGTTCCCGTGTAAAACAGGAAGTTTATGTCCACATTTCGGACATAAATACAGCCACGCTGTCTAAATGTTATACCTCCCTGTCACAGAGCGGCAGTGAAAACATAAACATACTTTTAATTGACCTTCAGGCACCTAAAGTAAATGGCACGCGTGGACTCGCCGGGATTGGAGTCTCCTTTCATCAGCAATGCAATAGCCGCCGGCGAGGAACGCGCTCTCCAAGCCATTCCTCTTCATTAAAAAGCAGAGACGTACAGAACCCTCCCTCGACAAGAGCCACTCCGCCTGCTCACTCCGAGAAGCCTGGAGAGAGCTGAGCGTCAGTAGCGTGTCCGCCCACACGGAGCGCATGCGGGTTGGTCTCCACCTGCCTGGAAATCCTCTCTTCTCTCCCGTTAACAATGCTTTTCACGAGTGAAGACCAAGCGAGTTCAGTCTGGCTACAGCGCCGGGCTTTTTTCCAGGGCGGGGCGTTCAGGACCGTGGACAGCGCGCCAGGTTGCCAGGGCCTCGGAGGGAGCATTGCATTCCTCCAAGTTTCCTGAGAGTTTTAACTACTTCCCCTGCCCGCCCCCCAAAAAGAGGGGGAAGTTAAATCCAAATTACACACTTTTTCTTGCAATGCTGTAAACTAGAAGTCAACAAATGTCTTCTGAAAAGACCAGATGTAGATATGTTGGCTTTGCAGACCATCCCGTCTCTGTCAAAACTACGCAACTCTGCCTGTAGCCCAAAGCCGCTAAAGTAACGGGTGTGGCTATGTTCCCCCGCAAAAGAAAATGTAATTTACAAAAGGCAGATTTGGTCTGTGGGCTGTGGTTTGCTAACACCTACTTTAAGTTAGAAGCAGTGCTGAGAAAGGGGTGAGGGGTGTCCAACAGTTGGAAATCTGGGGGTGTCTCTGGTTATGTGGTCAGATCACAACTCCCCAGGAACTTCCCAGTAAGAAACCAGCTTTGTATGTCAATAAAGGGTGTGTTTTTTTAGTGCTCCTGCGATTTGAACTTGGTAAGCTTTGCTTTACATCCTCGACAACTGGAAGAACTGAAAGGATAAAGAAGGTTCGAGATGCCAGTGAGCATCTCTCTCCCCCGTCTCCCAGGCAGTCCTCCTGGGGCCACAGAGAGCCCCTGGAGGAATGGAAGCCAATCCCCGGGGACTGATCCCTCCCTGGCCATCCTGTGGGGGAGCAGCTCTGACGCCCCCACTCTCCTCCCAATGGCCCAGGTCTCAACAGGGGGCTGGTAAGGGAAGCTGTTCTTTGGGAAACAGAAAGAGCGGGCAGGACTGAGCTGAAATGCAGCGTTCGGAAGGCTCTGCTCAATTATAGATCTGAGTGCTTCTCTCCTCCTGAACACATTAGCTGCTAATTGGCTTCAGCAATTTAAAGAAAAAAAGACTAGATTCAATTTCCACTCCCTTAAAATGCAATCTAGACAATTTATGAAAAGCAACCAAATATACTGCAGACATGAATAGACTTTTTTTTTTTGGCCATAACCTTTCTTAAAAGCACTTGAAGAGGTAAAAATATTCTTAAATCAAAATGAATGCCACACTTAATAAAATGCAAGTTGGCATAATTAATCGAGCGGCTTCTTTATGAGAGAGGACAAATAAAGAGTTCTGTTTCCAGCGGTTAGGGCTCGTCCTCGATGAATCCATTTAGAACGGGCCATTATGAAATGAAGAGGATCTGGCTGCCAGAGACCTGCAGGCCCCTAGAAGCTCCTGCCACTCAGACAATGCACACGACCTTGGCAGGAAATGGCCCTGGGCGGGGAGCGAGGCAGAGAGCAAGGCCCCGGGAGGAGCGGGGAGAGGCGGGGGGCCAGTCACTGCGGTCCGGGAACTAAGTGCAGAGCCGAGATGGAAGTTTCCAGAAGAGGGATAGAAGGCCTATAAACAGGAGAGAGGGAGGCACTGAGGGAGGCGGTGAGGGGTAAAGAGCCACTCTCCCCCTCCCCCGGAATCCCCATGTAGATAGGATGTCACCTGTCAGACAATGAACATGCATGCACACAGCTCGATGGAGGCACACACAGAGCCAGGGAAACACAGGTAGACACACACCTCACACACACACACACACACACACACACACGCGCGCGCGCGCGCGCACGCGCGCACACTCCCTGAAAAGCAACGGAAAAAACATCCTCAGGTAACGAAAACAACAACAAAAAAGGCAAATGCCCAACACCTCCCCGCAAGGCCTTCTTTCTCCACTTTCACAGCAGCTCTGTGAGGTAAGATGCTCAGACCCCCTTCTCGCCCCCCAACTTGAGGGGCTGGCCCAAGGCTCTGCACAAGGAGCAGACCATGTGTTCCACCATCTAAGCCGCTCCAGAAAGATCGAGGCGCTATGAGCGCGCTTGGTAAACTCCCCAACATCATAGAAAAGCCCTGCAGTTAAAGAGGCCCCTCGTTCCGAATCTCAATGGTTAGCCTGAGAAGCAAGCAGTTTCTAGGGCAGCAAAATCGGAGGCTGGATCTGAAATCGGTTGAAAGAACATGTGGGAACATTTAAATCATTCACGATGTGCTCCCTACTCTCCCACGCCCCTGAGCCACGGGAGGCGCCGTCTGAATGTGCTATGAGCTCCGGGAAGAGAACCTCCAGCAGGAAAAGGGCTCCCTGGTTGCTCTAAGCGCGGACTTTGTGTGGAAACCGCTGCTCCAGGAGGGAGAGAGCCCGAGACCCTAGGGCACCTGGGGTTGGGGGCGCCGGGCCTCCTGCAGCACAGGGTCGGGGTGAGGAGGGTGGCGAGGGCTCACCACCAAGGCCCTGTTCCCTCGTGATGTCCCGGGGACAGGCTTGGAGGCCACATGTTAGGTCATGTGCTTCCTACTGGGGTCTCGTCCGCCTTAGTGTAAGCCAGCGGCTCTCAACCTCGGCTGCACATTAGAATCACCTGGGAATCTCGTGAAAATCCTGATTTCTGGGCCTCATCCTCCAGAAATTCTGTTTCTTTGTTACTAATGATGAGGCCCAGAAATCAGGATTTTCACAAGATTCCCAGGTGATTCTAATGTGCAGCCAAGGTTGAGAGCCGCTGGTTTAAGCCCTTGGTCCATAGAGAGCTCAGCAGTTCTCCCTCATGAGGCCCCCTCCACTCACACGTGGCCTCTCTGAGCCTCCAGGTACCCCTGGGCACTCGGGGCTGCGGGAGGATCTGACAGGACAGGTAGGGGGAACCCCGCCCCCGCCACCATCCTTCAACTTTCCCACAGGCTGACAGCGCCTCCCTTCACTCTACACTCAGTCCCAGGCCTGCAGCTGCTTTTCTGTGATGGTGCCTCGATGGTCTTCTCTTGCTTCGCTCTCGCTCTCTCTCTCTCTCTCTCTCACCATAATGCCATGTACCCCATGCTCACATCTATACACACATTCTCACACTCACTTATGCATGCTCTCACACACACCCATACACACTCACAAAACACACTCACATACATGCGCATGTACACTCTCACACAGTCACATACACAACTCACTCTTTCACATCCACATGCACACACTCACACACACACATACCCATACACACTCCCACACTCTCATACCCATATGCACATTCTCTCACACTCACACAAACTTATACGCACTCTCTCACACACTTATACCCATACACACGCTCTCACACACCCATACACACTCCCACACACTCTCACCCATATGCACATTCTCACACACATATATGCACTCTCGCACACACTTATACCCATACACACGCTCTCACACACCCATACACACTCCCACACACTCTCACCCATATGCACATTCTCACACACATATATGCACTCTCGCACACACTTATACCCATACACACGCTCTCACACACCCATACACACTCCCACACACTCTCACCCATATGCACATTCTCACACACATATATGCACTCTCGCACACACTTATACCCATACACACGCTCTCACACACCCATACACACTCCCACACACTCTCACCCATATGCACATTCTCACACACATATATGCACTCTCGCACACACTTATACCCATACACACGCTCTCACACACCCATACACACTCCCACACACTCTCACCCATATGCACATTCTCACACACATATATGCACTCTCGCACACACTTATACCCATACACACGCTCTCACACACCCATACACACTCCCACACACTCTCACCCATATGCACATTCTCACACACATATATGCACTCTCGCACACACTTATACCCATACACACGCTCTCACACACCCATACACACTCCCACACACTCTCACCCATATGCACATTCTCACACACATATATGCACTCTCGCACACACTTATACCCATACACACGCTCTCACACACCCATACACACTCCCACACACTCTCACCCATATGCACATTCTCACACACATATATGCACTCTCGCACACACTTATACCCATACACACGCTCTCACACACCCATACACACTCCCACACACTCTCACCCATATGCACATTCTCACACACATATATGCACTCTCGCACACACTTATACCCATACACACGCTCTCACACACCCATACACACTCCCACACACTCTCACCCATATGCACATTCTCACACACATATATGCACTCTCGCACACACTTATACCCATACACACGCTCTCTCACACACTCACACACCCATACTCCCACACTCTCATGCCCATATGCACATTCTCTCACACTCACACAAACTTATATGCACTCTCTCACACACTTATACCCATACACACGCTCTCACACACACTCACACACCCATATACTCACACACCCATATGCACATTCTCACACTCACACACACATATATGCACTCTCTCACACACTTATACCCATACACACACTTTCACACACCCATACACACTCCCACACACTCTAACACATACGCACATTCTCACACACATATATGCACACTCACACACACACACCCATACACACTCCCACACATTCTAACCCATATGCACATTCTCACACACACACTCATACCCACACGCTCTCACACACACATATGCACTCTCACACCCATGCGCACACTCTCACATGCACATGCCCACATGCTCTCACGTCCATAACCACACTCACAGGTGCTGAGGCGCAGATGCCGTGCAGATGAGCCCCTCCCCCGGAACAAGCAGCACCACAGGTCAGGGGCTTGCCCGCTCCTGCAACACGCCTGCAGGTGTTTCTGCCCGAGGAGGACTTGGAAAGGGCGGCGTCCTTCCTCACTGCACAGCGTGTGCACGGAACTGCCTTCTCTGGAGAGAGGCGACCTCAGATCAACCGGGCGGCTCCGGCCCAGCGGGCGCAGGGCCAGGTCTGAATCTGGAGCAGCGCAGCCACAGCGTGTCCAGCCTGGGAAAGGAAGCAAGGGCCACCTTCCTGCCACGAACACCCACTGATTGCAGAAACCCTGGGCCAGGCGCTCCGCCGCTGCCGCTGCCTCCCACGGGACCCCCGGACAACAGCCCACCGGCTGGGGGCTTGGGAACAGTGCCGCTGGCCACTTCCCGGCCAGGGGGCAGGCATTGTCAGAGCCGACCCTCTAGACACCACCTACCTGCGTCTGTCTGCCCCGCCCAGTGGCACTCGCTGCTCGTCCCTCCAGAATTCCTCCGAGAACACGGCTGGATGGAAGGATGGGTATGCCTGGCATGACGGCGAGGAGGCGGGCCTTCCATGGGACGGACGTGTGTCCACACCCCAGCCCAGCTCTCTGTGCCTGTGTAGGCCTCGCGGGGTCCTCGTGTCCTCACCTGCAGCATGGAGGTGTGAGCACCGTCTCCTCAAGTCGCCCTGGAGATTAAATAAATTGATGTGAATGACCTAGAAGGTGCCACAGAAGTAGAGAGACATCGACGTGAGAACTAAGCATCAGTCAGCTGCCGCCCTGACCCTGAACCAAATGATGCCCGACCTACACCTGCCAGCATCCGAGAGGGAGAGGCGGCTCCGGGTCCCCTCCCACTGGCGCTTCTGGCGGAGCCTGGTCTGACCTCCCTGCGTAGGTCTGATGCCCGGGGGGTCCGCAGCCCGTGCTGTGACTCCTCCCATTGAGACGATCCCACCGATGCTCATTTCTCCCCATCACTAGAAAACAAGCACTGACCAGGCGGGCCCGGAGTCCGGCTGGAGCTCACTGCCACCATCACCCCGGGCCCAGCTGGGGCCCGGCGCATGGGGAGCTCAGCACACGTGCTGAGTGAGTGAGGAGCCTGGGAGAACAGAGCCACCTGCTCCCATGTCCTAAAGGGAAAGTCCCGAATGAAAAAAAGCGAGAAGGGGCAGATTTCAGTGTGTGTGTGTGTGTGTGTGTGTGGTGGGGAAGGGCGACTCTGGTAATGCCCCCAGGACACGAACTTAAAGCTGAACTGAGGTCTGAAGAATAGATTCCCCAGCAAAATGGGGCAGGGAGAGGAGGGTCTCCAGGCAGAGGGAGCAGTGCATGCAGGGGGAAGGGGCTCTGTGGCCGCGCGGGGCAGAGGGCACAGCGTGCACAGAGGGAGGAGAGGGCAGTGGAGCCAAATGCGTCAGGAGGAGGGGCCGGGGGGGGCAACCTCACGGGCCTGGTCTACATTCCCTCAAAACACACGCACCGCGCTGGGTCTTGCCAGTCATGCTGCAACCTCTGGTCTTGACCCTGGAGAGTGTGGAGGCCCTGAGGAGCGTGAGCCGGGCGCAGGCCACCACCGGTAAGGGGTGACCCGCTGCCATGGGCACTCGAGCGGGAGGAGAACGCTGGGACGCTCTGCAGCTCAGAGCCAGCAGGAGAGGCTGCTGATGGGGTGCGTCCATTGACACGTCAGGACCGGGCAGCAGATGCCCTTTAGTGTCAGGCCTGAGCAGCAGAAATACACTCAGGTACCTGGGATGGGAGGGGGGAGCGGGGAGCAGAGGGTCCCTGTGGGCAGTCAGGAGCCCCTCAGGGGGCTGAGCTCCGGGGCCCCGCCAGGCACACTGAGGCAGAGCCATAAACAACGGCGAGCACAGCTGCCTGCCGGCAGCCCGCGCTGGTTATGGAGCTGAGCTCTGAAGGGCTCCACAGTAATGGAGCCACTGCGCCAGCCGGTCCTGAAGGCAGGTCCAGTGCGAACGGGCGGGTGGCGTTTAACACGGTTTTGCTTTGTTTGTTTCTTAACAGCCAGCGGTCAACTGGCTTCTTGTCCGATGGGCTGCCTGCCAGGCCACACCGTCTTCTCCCTCCGTGGGAAACAGCACGGAGAAGCAAGGCCTGGGGAGGGAGAGGGTGCGACTGCCAGGGAGGTGGCTGTGTGTCCATGCTTGTGGGTGTGCATGCGTGTGCATACACGTGTCATGCCTGTGTGTGCACACACGCGCGCGTGCATGCGTGTGTACACAGGAAGACTGCATGTGCCCTCACTCACTGCCAAGAGCGACCCACGTGCCGTCTAATTGCAGGTTCTCTGCAGGGGAAGAGCTGGCGGGCCCTCAGGTGCCCTCACTTGCTCTGCCCTGAAGAGGCCTCGGCGGTACTCACGGGCTCTCAGGGAGTCATGCCCCGCGAGCAGCGAACATTCAAGCTTCCAGGGGAGGATGAGAGTCGCGCCTCGCCTGCCTCCCGGGGAAACAATGCAGAGGGCCCTCCAGCAGCTTTACAGCTTTAACTGGAAAAGCTGATGCTTCTGACAAAACTGCCTGATTTAAATGTTCTCACTGGACGAGAACACAGAGGGAAGAGCAGCCCAGGCTCTGCTGTTGGCAAAGCACGGCTGGTTCCCAGAGCAGCAGCCGGCCTTCTGCGCTCAGTCAGGGCTGGGGGTCCTGCAGCCTGGACGGGCAGGTTCTGTGCTCAGGGCAGGCCGGGGCAGCGGGGGGGGTGGGGAGGGGGCCGTCAGCCTGGACAGGGCTGTGCCCTTTTCGGAGGCATGTCCCAGAGCCCAGGAGCTGGAGCTGGGGCCGGGGGTGTTTGAGGGCAAGGCTGGACAGCGCCTTTGTAAAATGCCAAACGCTGAGAAGCCCACGTCCCTGGGCTGACAGGAGCCAGCAATCGCCAGGGGCTGTGGAAAGGGGGCCGCGTGGCTCGGACAGGAGGGGTGAGGGGAGGGATGGGTCCCCTCCTGTAAAACATAATACACACGGAGCCTCTTTAAAAAATGGAAAAACTGCCTTGCACATCTTGTGCCCCAAGCCTTTGGGATGTTAAAATGGAGCAAAATAACCTCTGGACGGGGCTTAAGCTCGTGTCCCAGAGAAGTGCGTGCAAAGAGGGCGACAACACAGACATTATGACCAAGGGGCTCATGGCTACAGGGCTGAGAGTTAAAACCTTGTCTACAACCAGCGTCACCCCGCGCGCCGACCTGTGAACCAGGAGGTCAGGGTTGGAGTCCCAGTCGGGGCCCAGGCCCGGGGTCCTGGGCTCCATCCCCAGTGGGGGGCGTGCAGGAGGCGGCTGGTCCATGACTCTCATCATTGACGTTTCTCTCTCTCCCTCTCCTTTTCTCTCTGAAACTAACGAAATTGTATTTATTTTAAACACGCAGTTAGCATCGCCGCGTCAGCTGACCTGCACCTGTGGAAACGCCCCCCTCCCCCGCCCCATAGATGCGACGGTCCCCCTCCCTCTCGCACAAGCAGAGCCGCACACCGAGTCCGCGTTTCCCAAATGCCATTCTTTGATCGCATATCAATGCTGGTCTTCCTTGGCTTTGAAAGGCCTTTTGTTTTTTAATATGTTCTTATCGATTTCAGAGAGGAGGGGAGAGAGAAGCATCAGTGAGAACCGATCGGCTGCCTCCTGCACGCCCCCTGCTGAGGATGGAACCCGCAGCCTCAGAACTAACCCGGAACCTAAGCGTGACCTCCCCGCTCGCAGGCCCGCGGGCGGGGAGACAGTTAGGTGACCCCGGACGGGGTGGGGGCCAGTGGCGGAGGGGCCCCTGCAGTCCTTCCCCCAAAGGCTAAGCAACGGGCGGCCGGCGGCTGGGTTCGCTCCGGC